TGATGTGCTGAGAAGAAGAAGAAGAAGAAGAAGAAGACAACCAACTTATGGAATATTGCTTCGATACCTAATTCCTTCACAGTCTCATGATAGTAAAATATCTACTTATTCTATAATTTTGATAAATGATAAGAAAGGCTTGACAAACGCCAACATTTCCACCAGACACGCCAAACAAGAACTTGTATTATAAGACCCATTTCCCATATGTGTGTAAAATATAATGGAATGTGTTTTTTTTAAATTTGTTTTTTAGTGAAAATGTGTAATGACGACGACCTTGTTGTTGATACGAAAGGTAACGTGCTTTCATTTCATAATAAATACCTTTTTTTTTTTAAATTTCGTCGTTTGTATTGACAGCAAGTTTCATTTCAATGGTGCAAGGTATCTATTTGTCCCGTTTCCTCGAAGTGATTGCAAAAAATTCCGGTACACTTATATACACGCATATATACAGCTTAACCAAAATTTGCAGTGAAAGACTGGGAAAGTACATCGTTATTTGATATGATTTAAACACACATCTGCACATAAATTGACGTAAAGCAAAGCTATTAAGTCACGCTTATATCCATTATTGCAACATGCGCCAAATAAGACCTTTTGAGCAGCTTACACAATTCTAAGACAATCGACAGTTAAATAAATTACGAGAGAAAAAAAATAGACCGTAACTGGGTTGCTAAGGAGTAGCATTGAAAATGAATACAATTAACATTTCTTATAGCTAAGGAGAATAGTCAAAAATGTGGATAAAAAATTGAAAGCAGAACACGTTTCTGCATTCTCATGCCGATTTAAATTGAAAGCTTTTCACAAACTTATCGTCAGTGAAGGGCATCCATGATTTTCTACAAGTCGACTACCGTAGTAAGAAAATAAATGATAAGAAAGAAAAAAAATTTTTTTTTTATTTTTTGCTCTTAGGTATATCTTTACATGACATCTATAAATGGTTTTAAGCTTTTATTTGCTATAGTAACGGATCATTACATTATTCCTATCTCCCTTTGCTGTTGTCTTTAAGAATTTTCTAATGTGAAATAAATTCTCATGCATCTTCAACTTGTAGACAAAAGAACATATAAACGTATAAATAAATAAGTTTATAAATCTTTCTATCTCAATTTGGTTGAATTTTATTTTACATGACAGAAAAACAAATTGAAATTTGTCATCTCACACCACCATATACACTAAAATATTTTATTTATTTTATATTAATCTCTTGGCTCGTGTACATCCAATTGTCGGTCAAATGTTAAACAAGTCTTTAATATACGAGAAATAAAAAATGTTAAATGCAGGATTGCTTTCACCTAATAAAAAAGATATGGGAATTTTGTTGACCCTAGAAAAGAAAGAATGGATAACATGGATCCATGGCTTAACTTTGTTTGAAATTGTCATGTATTGTCATGTTTTCTCCGTACTCTTCACTTTGACTTAGTGCAAATAAGTTTAGTCTTATGTGCTATGCAACAGCTCTTCGGTTCGTCAATTTTCCAAAGAGTTTAGCATGCGAGCTTCTAATGACAAGCTGCTTCTGCCTTTGATAGCTAAATTAGCGCAATGTTAGTACAGGTCACTGCTTTGATCAGGCATTGCCTTGAATTCCTGGCGGAAAGAAGTTGTAGATTAACGTTTAAAATTGGTTTTAGTAGCCTGATAAAGCAAAATTGTGATGCAACTTACAGCCATATTCTGGCGTTGCAACCGATCATTAGTCGAAAGAGAAATCAATGCATATCTTTGTTACAGTCTTTGCTTTTTTCTTTTCCATTTTGCATTCTGTATCAATTTCTTTACAAAAAATAGATCGTTGAATATCGAAAATTTGCGTCACTTGTGATGTCGCTCAGAATATCGCTGCCAACAAGAGCAACACAAATTGGAAGCCACTAATATTGCATGCGTGCATCTCATAAGTGTATTCGTTAGAAATCGTATATCTCAAGAATCGCCAAAAAAGGCTACTACTGAATGGTCGGCAAAGAAGTTCTAGAAGCGGAAACCATTGACACACAAGTCCATGCAACAATTTTAGGCCAAGAAATATTACTATTATTATTGTTATTATTATTATTATAATAAATAAAAAAAAAATTCTGAGACTAAAGTCTGCAGGTATCCGCATCTAAGGCCAATGATTTTTTATTGAAAACTCCACCGCACTTGAGATTTGAACCCGTGACCGATTGAGTTGATAGTCGAAATTCTTTGTTTCCTCCGCCACTCAGGCGGATGAGGCCAAAAAATTAAAAATAAACTAAAGGCCAAAATATTCAGTTGAAGAAAAGCTATTGAAAGAATCTCGCTAAAATTACATTTACTTCACTGTTTTTTAACATGCTCCCGCATTTCGTTTAATCTGGGTTCAATTCCTCTTATACAAATTAAAAATTTGGTACCGCCCTATATAAAAATTGGGGCACAGTCCACTAAACTGCTCTATGGTACGTCGAATTTTCGTGATAGAAAGAGGGTTCTGAGAGAAACTCGTGTAATGCATCTATACGACATCAGCGTGATTTGTATATTTATTGCACGCTGCGATCTTAATGTCATATGTGAAAGAAGTTTAACAAACAAACAAATTGAGTTACGTAAACCTCTTCATGCGGACTGGATAATTTGAGTAATTGAAGTAGAGTTTTTTTCTGATATTTACTTGCGCCTATGGCATACCCTTTGTGGATCAAAGTTGGGTGTCTCGTCTTGAACTTAGTTTATAAGTTATCTTAGAATTAGGCTTGGAAGGGGAGAGAGTGAACTCCTTTTTTGTTCGGAGGTAATTCCCTGTGGTAAGTAACCCGTTCGTTATTATCAAATAGTCGTGCAATGAATTTGTTTGCATTTAATCGGAACAGAATAAATTTATCGTATCGGATAAATGTACTACTGAAAGATTGAAAAAGAAAAGATTGGGAGAAAAATATCCAAAGGAAAAACTCGAATACGAGAGTCTCGTCCGACATTGCTAAGACACTTTATAAACACTTTTAGATCGTGAGGCATCGCGAAATATATTTGGTAAGCTAAAGGACAGGGATAAAGAATATTTGAAAATAAGTTATAGGAAAAGAGGAAAACACCTTGTCGTTATCTTTTCGACTTGAAACCGTGGAAGAGAATTTTTTGTATTCTTTTGGAATTGCTACTCCTGAGAGTTTTCTCGGCATCGTATAAAACCAAATTTAAAAGTTTGGCTATTAAATTGTTAGGTCTAAAAAATACAAATTATTTTAAGCATCATTCCGGCTTTACATGCCTTGGCTGACAACTTAGATAATAAATGTTTTTTCCTATTTGTTTTTTTATCTACAACAAAATCTTAATGATTACTTCTTCGAATTCTTTTATTTATTTTTATCATTGATTAGTTTCTCAATTCTTGCCAGCATAAATGTTAGTTATATGAAATGAAAGTTATATTCGGTTGGAGGCAAATCTCCCTGCTTTCATTTTTGGTGTTAAGTATTGCTAACAAAAAGTTCATCTACCACGTCGTTACGTCCACCATAATTAATTTGGAACTAACACACTAGCTTGCCGCGTTCTACTCTTGAAGTGCTTTTGGCTGATATCCATAGCGGTGGGTTTGTTCACACAAAATTTAATCCACCATGTCGTGGTGTTCACGATATTTCTTTCAAAATTAACGCATTTTTAGGCAGATAACATAGCTTGCATCTTGTTTATCGTACAAGTAATAAACATAAAACCTAAAAAAAGTGGAAAAAAGAATATTTAATCGTTTGTAGCTTTGTTGTCCCTAAAGTAAATGTAGAAAATTTCAAACTTCTATCCTTCATAATTGACGATTAACGGGTAAAAATCCACAAGTTTTAGCTTAGTGAAACGAAGATGTCTTCAGTTGACGCCTCACTGCGGTCGTGTGCTCTGGCCAGTTCGTCCCACTTTCAATATCGCCCCGCGTACAAAAACTTCCAATGTTTCTATCAAATTTGAAGTCGATATCTGACACATTGACACACGGGCACACAGACGAACAGACATGGCTTAATTGGTTCAGAATTTCACGCTGATTAAGAATATATATATATATATATATATCTGTATATATTTTAGAGAGTATCTGAGAAGTTTTCTTATGAGTCTTCCAAACGTTATGACAAAATGAATATATCCGGATCCTTTTGTATTATGTATAAAAATATAGCAAAAAAAGTAGATATGAAATGAATTATATAAACAATGTCTACGAGAAATACATACAACTGAGTATCTCTTCTTGTAAACTAATAAACAAAATTTCTCTAAACTGATGCCTCCTGCTCTTAATGATATGCAAACGAATTTCTATTATTGAGAAAATAAAATAAAAATGTCTGATGTCGTTGACATGAGTGTTTGCTGATTTGGAATATGCATAAAAAAAGGCTTTTATATAGAAATGTCAAGTTGTTGAGATTAGAGAAAGAGTGAGAGAAAAAAAGAATAAAATAAGGATAAGTTTAAAATCCGCAATGAAAAAAAAACATTTTAGAAAAAAATCTCGTTGAACATAAACTCGACAAGTGGGATTAGTTAGCGTCACATGCGAAACAGATGAAGACACAAAGAACAATTTAGAGATAGAAAAAACCTATAAAAATGTAGTCTGATGGCAGGTGAAGTGTCGTCTAAGCATACAAATGTCACTAAATTCAAATGTTAGATTAAGTTATACAACTTTGATTTTAAAGATATATATGTATATATATATATATATATATAGAGAGAAAAAAGAGAAAAAATATTTATTAAAGAATTTTTATTTCATTTCTTTTTACAGTTCGGTTTTCGTTTGTTCCGTGTTTATTATTTTCATTTGGTCGCGTTGCAGAGCGTAAGCGGTAATGTCCACAGCCAAACGGCTGGTGCTATCGTTACGAGGCCGCAAAAATTCGGAATCAAATACCGCGACTTCGTCAACACGTCTAGTATCGGCTGGTGTCTCGCCGGGCCATGAACTCGACGAAATCGCTATAGTTTCGGGTACCGGTGATTCTAGTCATCATTTTACCTATGGCGGCATTGGGAGCGACATTAATAATGGTCCCAGATACTCAACAGGTAAATTTCTTTTCTATACACTTATAGACCTACAATTATTTCATATAAACTCTTTAATTAGATTTTTGTGTAACTCACTTAGTTTGCATCATTCTTAAATCTGCTTTTAAAATATAAAATGTTGCAAATGCTTCTTTTTTTTTTTTTAAATTTAGAATTGTGGGTAATTATGTCATAAATTTATTATTTCTGCATACCTGCTCCCAACTTTTATAAGCGAATCGTTTTTATTATCATATTTTTTGCTGAGTGCTATGTAAGATTTATTTTTTTTTTCCCCTAAGCTCCACAAATTATGGTAAGCACAAGCACAGCTTTAGCTAGCTCACATGTCATAGATTGGCAAAAAAAGTAATTCCCAGTTTTTGAATGTGAAATAAAAACTTCTTTTTTTTTTTTTTATAAAAGAGTATACTTTAAGTGGTGCACAGATAAATTCCTTCTGTTTTTTGATAAAATTTAACTTTATATAATATGTAATTGCTACATAGATTAATAATTGAAATAAGCATCATCATTATTTGCGGTCTTTCGCCATTTATCGAGTTGCTTATGGATGAATATAGCCCTCGCGGTAGAAAGTTGCGGCTTTGAAAGCGTCGATAGCCGTCGACCCCCTTCTTGGCATGTCTTCAATTACTGCAAACCGCTGAGCTGCTAAATATAACTGCATAGATCTGATTTAGTTGTCACAGGCAGGGGATAGGTCTTCACAATGTTATGGTTGTCGTAAAATATCCGAGCCTAAGCTGAGAATTATTGCCTTGGTAATTTTTGAGATGGACGGATGCATGCTAATTTTCATAATATATTTTCCTCCTTAATTTTCATAGCACTAAATAAGGCCACGGATATAGAGCAAAAAATTATAACAAGAGCGATTTCATATCGTAGTTAGCATGATTTCAAATATTTCAAAATAAAAACATGTAAACCAAACCTAATTAGGGCTATGCGATAAGAGGTAGTAATCGCCAGCACATTTCTGCAGACGTAGAGGATAGGAAGAAAGCACTGTTTGAACCAATGTCTACGTGATTAACTTAACTTCTAATACCGCATTATATAGTTCACTTCTTAAAAATTTCGTTGAACTGAGAGTATAAGTAATTTAATTCAAGTAATTTGGCTCGGAATCTACTCTATGCTGGTTGATGGCAGGTTTCAATTTTGATCTGCTTTTCACTGATGGCGCTTTAGGTAACCCATTTTCCCTTACGGAGATGAACTATGCTTTGATGAGAAGCATAGATGTGCCGAAACTCTCACCTCCCAGCGGTGATCCCCGGGCAACGGCTTCGGCCGGCTAAGAAGAGTTTAAGGTTTTGGGCTGCTAACTCGGCGACGAGTTTCTGATAGATGGTGGAGGGGTTGGCTGGAAGAAGAGCTCTTACTCAATAAGCTAGTTACTACCGAGGAAATATATTGAATGGTATTTAAGTACAATGAAGGTAGTAATCTAGCGAGTGCATGGTAGAGTGCATTAGACTAGTCTACCATGTTCAGTGCAATACCCGGGACCTATACATCTTGAAGAAAAGTAGTTCACTTGGTGCTGGCAACCAGGAAAGTATGGAGGATCCGAAGCAAGTACGGTTGTTTTTAACAACCGCCCAAAGTATGCCATAAGGCTTTGCAAAACAAACTGGGAGCCACGGGGGTCAGGAAGCTCGCCTCACAAAGCCACGTATGGCTGCGGGTATATGATGGACTTTGTCCTTAAGTCGTAATAAATAAATTAATTATACTATTAATGCAAAAAGGAATTGACGGACGGCCTTCCCTTTGGCCGATTGATAGAAAATGTCTGGTAAATTAATTAATACATGCAAAAATGGAAAAGGGATACGACGAATAAGTTTTCCCCTTTTACCTATTTTTACTTTTGAACACATGTCACGGATGCCTGCGGGTAATGGTGGTAATTGATCAACAGCACAGTGGAAGCCTTATGGCGGAAGCAGTCAGTTGATCAATTTGTGAGTCCTGACTGCTTGGGTGCGGCCCTTCGGGGAGTACTCGTGGTGGTTGTGGTTGGCGAGTTCCTAGCTAAAATGGAACAATTGAGTGCAGCTAGGCCTCGCCATTCACCAGAGTGGGGTTTATTGTTCCATACACAATAAACTGTTCTGGACTCTGGTGCTGTTTAGGCCCCTACTCTGTGGGGATTGTCTAACTCGCCAGGGGGCGTAGTACGCTTAAAAGTGGCTTGGGCCACCGTGGGGTTAAGCCTTTCAGGCAGGAACCCACGTTAAACCCTTGCCACAAATTCTTACGAAGAATTATCCGTTATAAAAATATGGGCGTACGCATTGCTATTGAGATTTCTGTCACAAATTGTCGTTGCCCTAAAAGAGCGATGCGCGGATCCAAAGCATTGAATACTTTTTTCTTTGATTCAAGAATGGTTTGCGCTATATTTTAGACGTATGGCGTTCTTTACTGTGAACGAGGTAATCAACTTTAGCTACTTTGCAAAAAATTTTATTATCTTTGATGGGAATGGAGTGTTATCAGCTAATAATGGGAAGTATGTTCAACAACGTTATGGCGAATGGATAGTAGGTCAGGCTACGCTGGTTCACATCTCGGTGCGATAGAGAGACTTTTTCATAATTATACTGAGCTCTCAGTCAGTAACGGCTTACCGTTCAGGTATCCACTGGCTTGATATCGTTTCCATCTCTTTGTGTGATTGCTCATATTAACCAAAAAAAAAAAAAGATTGGTTCACACGTTGGTTTGAGCGACGAGAATATGTTTTTGACAATCCATTGTTGTATTTCAAGTGAAACATTAGCCTTTAAGACATACTACGACGTATTCAAGGTTGGTTTTTGCCTTAACACACCTTCTAAGTATTATTATTAAGTTTTAGTTTGTAGTCATCTTTTAATCCGACTTTAGGATCACTTGGAGCTGCTTAGAATTGAAAGAGTTATGAAAGATTTTTATGCACTTTGGTTTGTACTCGTAGCATTAAAGAAATGATGCGAGTCCTCTCACACATATCCTTATGATTTGAAAAGAAGGGTTTAATGAGTACCGATGAACCTTTGCTTGATTTTTATTATAATTGCAAGAATGACATATACGGTCTAAAAACTCTTTGAGGTCAATCAAGTTCCTCATATGATTCATGATTAATAGCATATGATATGTTTAATAGCTAATCACGATGGATTGAGATGGAACGGATAGTCGACCGACCGAAAAAATTCTTAGACCGACGAGCTTTTTTTGACAAATTTTAGCATTTTTAAGGAATAGGTGGGCTATCGCATAATCAAGTAAGCAACAATCTAGCGGTTTGTCCTTACTTGGTCATGGCATTAGTGACTAGTTAGTCGGCAAAGGCATAAATAACACTTACAGATTGGACACTTGCCAATTTAGTTGCAGAAGCTCTATGTCTCTTTGGCAATTTTTTTCTGACTGTCAGTGTGCGGCACGTAAAGTTTGCATCTGTTGAATGAGTGATGGTCGATCTTAGGTCGTCTTTTTTGAAGTTTTGCGGGTATTCTCCTTTGTTTAATTTTATCCCTTCTTAGCTTTGATGATTTTAGCGCACGCTCCATTGTCGTTCTTTGTTGTTGTTGTAATTTGTATTTTTTTTAAAATTTTTAATAAACGCGGCTCCCATATCATGTTGATTTTTTGTTAGGTAAACTCACAAATAAAGGATGCAAATTTCCTTTTGAGAATGTAAAGTACGTTAACTATTCAAACTTAATTTTTGATTCCAAGATTTCTTTGTCAAATCTTTGACTTTTTTCTTTTTTTTTTTTTTGGAATTTTGTAAGATAGTCTGCTTCAAATTACCATTAAAGTAAGTTGTATAAGAGTTGATGGTTTTTGTGAAAGAAAGGATTGAAAAAGATTATTACGTTAACAAAGCCATTTGGCATTGTTAAGAAAGACAGCAAACATAACCGATTTTATGCTCATACACGCTTACAATCATTCCCCATTGAGTGGCTTTTGTTCGAGTTTCTCTGCGTTTTTGTTACGCTTTATAGGCTTTACGCTCGCGTTCTATTGTTATGTAAAGAACACCTTCAAACATATTTCATAGTCAACGTCCTCCCTCCATCTGTTCAGATGAAAAGCATTTACATAGCCATCTAGAGTGTTCTACTTTAGTTTTTATAGAATAGAATATTTTTTTTTTTGTTTCTTTTTAAGGTTTAATATAATTTACAGTTAACGTGTATCATGTCTCTTGCATTAGATGAACGTTAACCATTGTAATACCGCCATTACATAGTATTTGTGTTTATATATATACGCTATTATCAATAAAACAGTTGTGATTTCACTTCCCTTAGCTTTAATAAAGTTCTAGTGTTAAGAATGAAATTTCTCCAAAAAATTACTTCATACTTGAGAAAGCACAAAACAGACAAAAACATTTTTAATTGGATTGAATTCTATTTAAATTTGAATTTCAAATTAATTCAAACTACTCGAGCATATAAGTATATGTTTATGTTGATTTTATTGTAATTACATTGTATTTATAAACCGCATTTGCTGTCAACTTCGAGTAAAATAAATATGTGTATATATGTGTATTAAACTCTTTATGTTTCTCCCGTTTGGTTTGGCAGAATTAACCGCAACTGCTTCTCCTTCGGTATACTGTGCACTTTATTAGCCAATTATTATCACCACATTTAGAAAAGTGTCAAACTCTTGTACTCTTTATATATAATTTGCTCGGAAAGTATATGCGTTTCGATATATGTGTGTGCGTGCGTGCGTGCGTGCGCGTTTGTTTGCTAGCTTGTACGCTAGCATGTAAATTTAAATGAATGACGTTCTTTGAAATGATTGACTTAAAATTAAATTACAAAACGTCAATTAAATAAATCTGAAGAATACATATATGCATAAACGAATTCGAAATATATGTAAATAAAAGGGCGACTTATCACGCAACGATAACATTGTATACGGTTTAGAATTAATTAAACATTATGAAAATGATGTATAAATTATTATAAGGAAGTAAGACTATATGGTGGGCCTAAACTTACTCATGTAACCATTTTTCAAAACAGGGCATTATATGGGAGGTGACCAAAGAAAGCATCTAATTAGAAGCATTTTCAACACCGTATCTTATTGGGCCAAAATACGTTACTGCATCGAATATCACCAAAATATCTCGGAAAGTGCGGCCTGTAGCGGTAAGACCGACAGACAAACTTCGATTGAGAAAGTGTTTCTAAAACTGGCTGACTGATATAACAAAAGACTGACTGATATATCTCAAGTCCTTCTGGATGTTGCATACATCTGCACAAACTTACTATACTCTTGTACCATAAGTGGTCATGAAAATAAGAAAACCGGTCTAATTCGCTTGAAGCTGAATCTTTTGATTGATCATTTGCTTCATAAACTTATATACGGATAACATTTCCCTGACCATTGCCCTTAACGCACTAAGGGCAACTCGCGATGTCAATCAATCCTACTTGTCTGTCCAACTAACTTAATATATATAACGGAATTTAAAATATATTCGGGGGTCGCTGTTCGGTTCGATTTTGTGGCGATCGGAGCTTGAGTAGACGGACGTACGTGTCTTTGCTGAGCTAGCTAATTCGAGCGATGTGGGCGGAGGAAACCCAACTTACCGAACGAGACTGCAATAAGCCCCGGAGTCTTTCTTCACCCTGACCAATCTAGTGTTGAGAAAACCAGTGGTTTGATAAGGACAATACGCCGCAGATCAGCAATTTCAAGCTGTGCTTACTCAGTTCTTGAAGACACGAGTTTACACCTAAAATAATGGACAACTCATTTGTATATAAATGAACGAATTATATTAGTTTCCATTGAGTATTGTATTTTAACGTTGAAAAGGATTATATATATTTATTTGTATATATAAAAGAAGTATGATAAGGGAAATATATTTATAGTAATATGACTTTACCATCTTACATTATCATACAAAAGTTGTGAGTGCAAACGAACAAAAATAAACGAAGAAGATGATGATTAAGTGCAATTTCATATGGTTGGGCATCTCTGCCGTTGTTGAAAATAGTGATAACGTTGACTTAATTAAGTAATGTTTACGACTTTTTTCCACTTGAAATTTTATAAAGAATCGAGGCAGCAAGAACGCTATCCATAGACATGCTTCGCCTGCTTTTTTATTTTCTATTTGTAAGCAATGATCATGCACCTCTCCAAAAAAGAAAAAATAAAGTTTTCAAATGGCCTCCCAATGTTTTATTGAAATTCTTTAGTACACAATATTGTAAAACATTTTAGAATTTCTTAGAGTCACTTAATCTCGTTTTATTTGTTTAACATGAAAATAATTCTAATATTTCGTTGAATTACAATTGACATTACTTATGTTTTATTTATCTATTTGCTCAATACCCCAAAAATAGTTTGACGTCATTGGCTTATACATCGTTATTGGCAATCATTAAGTATTCACATGAACCATTTCCGTCAGCATAAACGTAATAAGTATTTAAGACTTGCTTTGACTCATCAAGTTTTCTCATTTCATTTTTCTGATGTTACGATATTGTCCATCAATTAAATTTAAGTGCAAAATTTATGCACTTCTATTAGTCTTCCACATCTTTACTTCACGAATTTCTCGTCCCAATCACCTTACATATTTACACATTTGTATTTATATTCTATGTTCTTTTTTAAAGTTCATATGCGACGACCGCCATCTTTCTTTTTCTGTTCAACTTTATTCAGAACATTAACGATAAAGCAGATAAATAGCGACTCATGCCTTTTTAAAACACTTGTATTCCACCCTTCTTTTCTTTTGTCTCTTACTTTTAAAACATATTTTCATACCTTATCTCAACTTTCTTTATACTTCTTTTCAAGATTTTATATATTAATTCCCGAATTCATCATTGCCCTGCAAATCAATTAATAGATTTTGTCTGTCTGGATTTTCTTGTATTTTTAATTTATCAACGTTCGCCGTCCTTCATGCAAAGAGTGTTATTTAACACTCTTTAAGTTAAGGAGATTTTATTTCATTTGAATTACTAAACTTTTCGAATTTCACTTTCAAGAATCTTTTTTCCTTTTTCTTTTCCTTTCTTTCACTCGACGCTGCCTTAATCTTTTTTATTTTTTCCTCTTCTCATTTCTCATCTCTTGTCAAAGCACGTTAGCGAGCGTCTTCAACGTCAAACCGCCTTTTCGTGAGCGAACTTAACAATTCCTACTACGCAAGGTTGCATTGCTAACAAAAACTGTTAAGTGCACAAGCTAGAATAGACGAAATTCCTTGGCCAAAATGCGTACGATTTTGATCTAAAAGATAGAGTTACGTGGTTCGAACTCGCAAGGTTGATTTTCATGTCAGATTGTTATTATGAACGCATTTTCATCAAATAGTTTCGTAAGAAAGCCTACATAGGGTTCAAAAACTGCCACATCCGAAGTACTTACACCAATATTGACGATTTTTGTCACGAAATTTTAAAAATTATAGTAATTTATTTTCTAAATTAAAATAATGCGTTATATGGGGAGGAGCCGGAAAAGTGGTCCAGTCAATGGCTCTCGTCCTTCCACCAAAACCCGTCACGAAAAGATCTCGAATGCATGGTCAAACATGCGACAGACGAAGGGGACACAGAAATTCTTAGACCGATTGATATAATTAGAATTGGGTCTGTCTCCTTGTCCTTGTGCGTACAAGCTTATTCACAAACTTAATAGGCCCTGTATCGCAAGTGGTTTAGGGCATTATTCAGGCTACTATATGTCGACGTTCCTGTTCGTTCTGTATCTTACGGTGAGCTGTTACTAACATTATTTACACCTACAACCATATCAACATAATGTAGGCGTATGTGTGTGTAGGCGTGGGCCAAAAATTAGTGACAAAATTTACTTCTCACTCTAGTATTTGATTATAAGAGAGCAACAATCCTTGCACTCATTTATCGATCACATACCTTATGTACAACTTCGTACATTGGGTAACTTTCAAAATAAATTTTCATATAACTGTTTAAAATTGAAACCGTGTATATGAAATGTATCGCAAATATAACGCAGCTACTTAAATTAAAAAAAAAAAAGATTCAAAGCATATTTCTTTCGCATCGATATGGCGGCAAAGAACATTCTTTCAATTAATACAAAAATAGATTTGTTTACGTCATTTTTCGGAATCACCCCGGCTGCTGATTTCTCGTGAAACATAGCTATTTTAAGTGTAGAGGTCAAGAAAGATTCGCACAAAGTACGCGGAGATATATTTTCTTTTTCTTAAGTTCATGAAAAGGGTCACCACATTCGTCCGATGTTCTAATTGAGCACTAAATTTTCGCTTGTTTAAATCCCTCGCTGTTATGTAAATTGTAAGTGTATTGCTTTCCTCTGCGCGCAATTTCACGTCGAAAACGATGATTTCACGCACTTTTTCCTTTAAGTTATTGCAAGTTATCGTTCTTTTCTTTTTTGCTTGCCATCGAGTTTGAAACGACTTTAAATCCCATGACCCATTCTTTGTTATTTATGGTTAAATGAAAAATAGTATTGTCATTTTAGCGTTTTTAGAGCGCAAAGCCACATATTTGTTGATATTGAATTTTGAAAAGCTTGCAGAGTTCTTGTTTTGCTTTTAGAATTCAGCAATTCAGCTACGCACTCACTGTGCCGGGTTTCTTGTCATTACTTTAAAGTGACAGAAAAGTACGATAGAAAAAAAATTGAAAAATAATCGCTTTAGGCAGTTCCTTTTAGTGGAAAATAAAAGAAAAATAGTTTTTGACTTATTTGACCGTTAATCCGTAACCGTGATGGATAGCGAAGACGAAGACACCGTGGAATATACTGTTGAACGCATCGAAGATAAACGCATAAAAAATGGTAAAATTGAATATTTTTTGAAATATACAGGTTATTCCCGACTCGAAAATACATGGGAACCTCTTGAGAATCTCAACTGTCCTAAACTAATAGCGGCTTTCGAAAAATCGTTAAAAAATAAAAAAGGAACTAAGAAGCGCCGTTATTGCGTTCCAGATGATGAGGCGAAAATTAAAAGGAAAACGGTAAAGGATGAAAGCAACAAAGGCAAAATAGGATTTGACCGCGGCTTAGAACCGTTGCAAATTTTAGATGTTACGAAATCTTCAGGAGAATTAATGTTTCTCATGAAGTGGAGTGGCATCGATGAGGCCGAGTTGGTGCCCGCAAAAAAGGCGAATATTATTTGTCCTCAAATTGTTATCAAGTTTTACGAACAATGCATCATATGGTGTGCATGCGACGAAGAAGATGTTATAGAGGAAAGCAACTCTGAATAATTAAAATTTGTGTTTTTCTTGTAAAACGACCTCTATTAATGTTACGCAATTTGTTAAATTTTATTCAAACTTTACACTTGAAATATTTATACTTCAGATTAATTCGCAATTCGTTATGCATCGATATATTCCCAAAAATTTGTTAAAGTAAAAAATAAAATTGTCTTAACATGATTGAAACTACATCTCCGTTGTTTGCTTTGTGGTCTCTGCTTATGATGTTTACTTTCCATAATTAAGATAACCATTTTATGGCGGGGATATTTGCATTTGTCTAGCTCGCTAAGATTTGAATTATATAAGACCAGGTATAGGTTGGGTGATCTGATGGACGCAGCCCTAGCGAATGAAAATTAATCAACTTGATATTCTCAATACTCACTTATTAAATTAAAATAATTGAAAAACTTCCGTTATTACTCTGTCACAACAGGACAAACGATATTTTCATCCTTATTTATGTAGGGTTCCTTAGTTATTCAGCAGTAAGTAAGGAAATTAAATTCGATACCGATCGAATCTTTTATACTCATCACCGTTATCCTATAAAAGAAATATGGGAAAAACCAACATGTAAATTTTCATACTCCGAATAATGCTTTGAAAACGTATATATTGTGTGTCTGTTGTAGTTTATAAGCAATGAGCACAGGGCATGGAACGAAAAAATTGTGTTCTCACATTTAGTTGAATAGACGTGTGGTTGTTGTAGGAGTATTCTTCGTTCGGGCTATCTTTAAAATCTTTCGCAAATTTTTGCGAATTGGATAATGTGACTACACTGATGGGCAAACAGAGAGATGGGCCGACAAACAGACAGACATGCTTCGATGTATTTCGAATCCATAAGCGGCCAAGAATTTATACACTTTATGGGATTTTTGAGGCAGGATGTTTTTCGCAGACCCTACACAGACAGCCAGCCGAACGGATATACTTAAATCGGTTTAGAATTTGATGCTGAGGAAGGATACGTATATTTTATAGGGTGTCTGGGGCTACCTTTTTGGATATTGTAAACGTTTTAACAAATCGAATATATTCCTCATCCTTTAAGGATGAGTATAAAAATGAGTGTAAAAAGTCATCGACGTAAATTTTCGCAATGTAGTAATAACTTGAATACATAATCTATATGTAAAAATTGTACAAATATGTACAAATTGTTTCGATCAGAGAGAGAAATTTAAAATAGCTATTTGCTTTGCTCGCTGCACATTTGTGAATTGTGCGAATTTCAATCGTCACCTAACGTCAATAACGTTATATTTTCATAGCGTTATATTTTGACCAATTTAGTGTAGACATGGTTATGAAAAAGTTTTCATATTTATTTATTTTCTATGTTAGCAAGATTGGTTCAATTTATAATTCTACTTTTGTTTGATAAATCAAAAAAAATCTTGCTTCAAGCAAATAAAAATATTATTATTTTCACACAACTAAGCGAAGTACTAATGTTTTGTTTTCGGTTAGCATTTGCTTTTTACTAACTTTTTTTTTTTTTTCTTTTGCAACACAGAAAATGCACATTTGTACACAAATGCACGTTTTCGCTTTATACCCATCACTAACAGATGAGGGGCATATTTAGATTGAGAAAGCGTTGACAACGCCCAGAAAGATGCTTCAGAGCTACCGCAAGTTATATTTATTCATGATCAGCATCTAATTCTGAATTGATTGAAAAATGTCCGTCTGCCCGTTTGTGTAAGAAAATTGAACAAAACATTGCGAGTTCTTGTATTTAGGTTGTTATTAAAAATGGGCCAAATCGGTCGAAGGAAACGCCTACAGTATTGCCTAAAGTGAGGACAAGTCTGCTTTTCAAAGGAAGTAAAAAGTTAGTCATAAAATACAGCAGGTAAGCCGATAAAAATGTCAACACTTATTCTATGGACGATGCTATAGCACTTCGACAAAACTAGCAAACGGCGACGTCTTTCCAATTTTAGAGTGTGTATTAATTTTTTTTTCAAAAGCTCGAAAAACTCCATGAAGTATGTGAGGTGTTGGCCATTAAGTATGTCCGTCTTTTCGCTTGTCCGTATATCCGTTTGCGCAACTGTGTAGTATCTGCGGTAAACATTCTCCCGTTCGCAAAGATGAAGCTACCGCCAAACAGGTCAAAGGACGCGCCTACAAAACCCTGCACGTCTACGAAACTAAAAGTGAGAATACCTTTGCTTTGCGTGCTTTTTGCTTGTTACTCGCTAACTACAACGCATACATCATATAAATTTGCCCTTTTATCCTGAAACTGTTGTAGAATATGAAAATACTGTTCTTTTCTTTGGGATCGCGCTGATGGTTATAAAAGATTCGGTCGCGGCTGAATATAGTTATCTTACTTATTATTATTATTATTATAAATTTAGACAGAGAATAAATTCTAAGACTAAAGTCTTAAAGCACTGGCATCTAAGGCTTTCGGCTCTTATTAAAAACTCTACCGCACTGGAGATTTGAACCCACGACTATTGAGTTGCTAGTCGAGAATCTTGCCTATTTGGCCAGACATTTCATACTATATGTAGTGTTGTATCGAAATGGTTCGATTAAGCGCTTCCTAACATCTGCGTTCTGAAAATTTCCTTTCTAATCAATTAAGTTTGTTAAGCCGCACCACACCTTCGCTCGATTAAATAACCTCTCTGATATCAAGTCTTCTTCTTTTCAAACTTTTTCGTGGTGTTTGCAGATGTATTGTATGTGCGTGTAGCTAACTCCTGTTAATGGATAATGTTGCAGATAATAATTTTTGTTCGCCACCCTTGCAGTTAATTAATTTTAAAGCAAAGTTTTGGAGAGAAACTTTCAATGAATTTTGCTATTTTTTCATATCTGGAAATTTTATAGAATTAAGGGTTTACACTGGTTCTTTGGTCACCATTGTCTTTGTTTGTGGTTGAAATTTAAACCATTTTCTATGTTCTTGCTTGGCTTGCTTTGTATAAGTTGTTGTAATCTCTTCTTCTCTGTCAAATATTCGATGTTGGTAACAAAACGAAATATTCCTCTTTTTTCTTTCAACATGAATTTCTATCACAATTAGTAACTTTACTGTTACATCGCAACGATAATTAACATTCTCCGTCTATGCTTGTACGCTACTAATTGATTAACAAGTAAGAAAATTATATTTGGCTGTGACCGAACTTTTTATACCCATCTTAACGCGTATCTTAAAACAGGCAAAAAAGTAAAAGAATTAAATATTTATGTTCTATAGTATGGAGTGGGCGCCGTTAATTTCTTCCATTTTTGATATAAAATTTTTTGTTTTTTAATAGGCGTGTCCTTACAAATTTTTGTGTTAACTTGCAGGCGTTATATTCATTTTCGCTAACGCGAGAATGTTTATTACAAATACTATACAGTTGTGCAGACAAACGGGCAGATGGACAGACGAACAGACCGATACATTTACGTGCATTCCAAATTTGAAACTGACCAAGAATCTATATAATTTATGAGAGTTTTGAAGTTTCTTTCTGCACGTCGCAAACGTTTTGACAGAATGAGTAATGGTTATAAGAAGAGTTTTTGATTCTTTTGGCAAAAAAAGTGGATTTATCTGAAACAGCCGAAACAGTTCATCCATATAGCAAAAGCTAAAGAAATACGGTGGGAAGAGGAGGTGGAGGATGAGCTTGGAGACTTAAAAATATTAATTTCTTGCAATTTTCGAACAGAAAAAAAGGCAAGAGAAGTTTCAATTAACTTATTAAGAATCCGCCTCTCACTTCTTTTTCCAATTTTGCTTTGTTTTATTTCTCTTTAAAAATCACTTTAAAGATGTTTTGTAAAAATTTCGAATGGACAATGTTGGAGTTGTGTTGCTTGTCGTTTTGGAAAAATATATCTAAAGTTCAAGTATTGATATTATACTGGTATGCAATTAAAATCGAAAAATCAAATTTTTGTACAGTGAAAAATATTCCCACACCCATAAACACCTTTTGATATCAGACTTGAATATGTAAGAGATCATTTAAGCTGATAAAAAAGATTGATTTTCTGAAAAATTCACATTAGGTTTCGTCTTTAATCGGCTTAGTTGTTTTGTACCGTAATGAAATTTTCAAATCATAAAAAATAGCGATGAGTATTAGTACGAAACGATGTCAGAAACGAGTAAAGTTTAGTAAAGTTTACTCGGTTAGGACCGGATCTTTTATGCGCATTACTTTTATCTTGAGAAAAATGTAAAATAAAATCTTCATACTTTATAATATATATGGTACGGGTGGGCGTGGCTGATTTCTTATCTTTTGTAGTACATATGTCCAAGTTTTTATTGTATACCGATTGTAATTTATGGGTAACGGTCGAAAAGGCCCGAAACGAAAAGTGCTTTGAATCTAGCTTGCATTGTAGACGTGTTGTTTCACCTATTTGGGCCATTTTCGAAATGGAAGTGCATGGACGAATTTCCAAGATTGCGCCAAGTTTCAGACAAATATATTCATTTTTTGCGAGCGGGAGAATACTTACCACAAGCGGACAAACGCACCGATTTAAAATACAATACCTGTACGGGATCTTTGAAACTTTCTTCTCGACGTTGCAAAGGTTATGATAAAATGAACATGTCTCCATCCTTCTATCGTGGATACAGCAATAATAGAAAAATTTATAGAACGTAATAAATTTGAAATATATGTATGAAGCTAGTTTGTGAGAAGCGTTAGTTCGAATATTTAATAACGAGTCTTTTGTCATGTCTGCTTTAAAGCCATTAAATTATTGACAATGTCGGACTTAACTGAATTGAAGTTTGAGTTTTTCCTATATATACTATAAAATAGAACAAAGGAAGGATTCAAATTTAGAAACTTTATTTTTGTCATTGAAAAAATTCTTTCATGTTTTTGTACCCTACACCATTTGCGCCACAAGGATATGTTAAGTTTGCGCGAATGAATGCGACATCCAGAAGGGCTTCAGATACACCTCCTCACCTCTTATTACACCGATCGATTTAGAATTGCTTTTCG